CTTTTATACCTATTGAGTGCACACTTTGGTTGTTCAAATGATGGAAGTTAGAGTGAATGAATGTTGAACGTTGGATATCGGAAAGAATGCAGACGCTTTGCTATTTATAAATTGGGCCTTAGGGATATTTTCTTTTTTCCTGATTGTGGTGCAAATTGCTTTGGTAATTTGATATATTTGGCTTAAGTTAATTATAAGATTAAATTTTAATTTGCTATGTTAACTCTCGGTATTGAGTCCATGTTGTGTTATTAATTTATGGTGGATTGAGTTATGAGTGATCATCAATCTCTTATTGATTTGTGCTTAACCATAGTATGTAAACAGAGATAGAATGAGGCAAACAACTTAGATAAGCCATAGAGAACAACAAAATAAAGTATGTATCGGTTCAACTGTTAAAGCCTAAAAAACAACTGATGTTGTTTAGTGTTGCATTTTGGTGAAGGCACAAGTCTTTGGAAGTACAAATTTCAGTTTATTGTTAATTTAGAGTGGGTTGAAGCAGAAGTATCATATGCAAGTTTTCTTCATCGAGTACTGGTTTATTTTAGTTTGGCATTGCATCAAGCCTTTAAGAAAGTTGCCACCCATTGCTCATTTGGTGTTAATCTTTGTAAGGTACGCGAGCTGGCCGAAAAAGAGTCTGAAGATGGTGTATTCAAGATGCTTCGTAGTGATGTAACTCGGTTTCTTACAACCATTCTTATTGGAACCACGTACTTCTCTTTTCTTTCCATCACCTTGCTATGTTACATTTCCATCTTTTCAGCTAAATCTTGAAATTTTTCTTATTGTGGATTTTATTTCTTTACTTAGTGTGGTCAATATTGGAGCAACTGCTTTAGTCACAGATGCTGCAACAGCAATATTTGGGGAAGCCGGTGTTAGTGCAGCAACTGGAGTAATGACTGTATGTATTGATATCCTGTGCTTTGGTTTGGTTTTTCGAGGGACTGTGTGGTGCCTAACTGCACATCTTTGAGCCTTTCTCTATCATGTGTAAGCCAGTAAAATAATAAATCGGTTAACGTATGGTTGGCCAGCATATGAATATATAAACAAGTGAAATGAAATATATATTTTGGTGAAATAAATACAGAAACCAGTTAACTTTCCTTGTATGGTGCTAGGTTGCCGTATTGCTTCTCACTGAAATAACTCCAAAGAGTATAGCTGTTCACAATCCAACAGAAGTTGCCAGATTTGTGGTACGATTTCTCTTTTCAGCCTTCATCATTTGAGTATTTAAATTTCACTACAAGCCAGATGTGTCTTAAAATAGTATAGCTTTTCTTCCTTCCTTTTTTTCTATAGGCTTCATGACTCTCTTGGCGCTTTGCCGAAGTTATCATTTCCAATTTAAAACTGACTGCCTACTTGTCGTTGCAATATTTCTAGGTTAGGCCAGTGGCATGGCTTTCTGTAATACTATATCCAGTGGGACGAGTTGTCACATATTTATCAATGGGAATGCTCAAAATTTTTGGTCTAAAAGGAAAAAGGTGAAGAAAATACTTACCCGAATTTAATTCTATGTACAGCTTCTAAATCATTGATTATTTTCTGTGCTGTTTCTTTCTAATGATTTTGTCGAAATTTCAACATATGTCTTCATTGTGTTATTTGCTTTCTGAATGCCTTCTGCATTGTCTCTTCGTTTTCAGTGAACCTTATGTTACTGAAGATGAATTGAAGCTAACGTTACGAGGAGCAGAATTGAGTGGAGCAATAGAGGAGGAGGAGCAGGTAGCCACATATATCACATGTTTTACAAGTTCACATGTATATAGCTCTGATTTAGCTTTCGTTTAACGCATTTTAACTTATCTGCAATATTTATTTTTCTTTTACCCTCGGTTCTTGAAATGCCCAGTAGATCCAAAGGTATCTTATTTGTTGTTAGACTAATCTGTATGCAGAACTTTAGCCTCAGCTGTGAACTTCTCAGATTATGTTATTGATGCTAAGTTATCTTCTGAATCGTGATTCTTTTATCTGTTTGTACATGTATCAATAAACAAAGTTTTGAATTCAGTGAAATGCATAACATGAAATGGTTCTGTTGCATATAGTAAGTCAGAACTCCCATGCAAAATGGATCATTAGAACTCGTTCTCTATTTCTCTATTGAGCTGAAGCTCACTACGATTATATTTTCCCCTCCAATTGTATATGGTGTACAGTCCTGTTGCAATTATTGCTCTCTATGGTCCGTGTTTATACTTGATACAACACAAATCCATACCTCTCTCTTTGTTTATGGTTTTGGTGCGCTCTTATTGCTGGAATCCTCTTGCAGGATATGATTGAAAATGTGTTAGAGATAAAAGATACTCATGTTAGAGAGGTGATGACACCTCTTGTTGATGTAGTTGCAATTGATGCAAGCTCAACACTTGTTGATTTCCACAATTTGTGGTTGACTCATCAATATTCAAGGTATTAATCCATCACTTAGGTTCTTTTTATCTTAATAACATGCTAAGAAATTTTTCGACATTGATTCAGGGTGCCTGTTTTTGAGCAGCGTGTTGACAATATAGTGGGTATTGCATACGCTATGGATCTACTAGATTCTGTTCCAAAGGTCTGACAATTTCTGATCTTAAATCATTTTTTCCGATCATATATGAGACATTTTAATGTGTGCAACAATACTATAGCGTGCAAAATTATAATATGTTTGATTTTGAAGGGTGGACTGCTAGAAAGTACTACTGTGGGGGATATGGCTCAGAAGCCTGCATTTTTTGTGCCTGGTAATTTTGAGACATATCTTCTGTTTATTTTGTCCGCTCAATTAATTTGCAGATGAATTTTGCCTTTCTGTCTCTCTATCCATTAGACCGAACGACAGCTTCGGTTAATTACCGTTCATTACCATGCTTTGTCAACATGTCATTATGGATTATATTATGAGAAGCTATTACAAATAGAATTGTCAATTTGTTTTTCAGATTCAATGTTAGTCTGGAATCTTATTAGAGAGTTCCGCATTAGGAAGGTTCACATGGCTGTGGCTCTTAATGAATATGGTGGAACAGTTGGAGTAAGTACTATAAATTTCTGAATTGATTTTGAATTTAAATTAGTACAGTTTAATAATTCGTACCTGTTGAGAACCTCGAAGTAAGACAGTTCGACATTAACATGAGAATTGAGATTGGACATGGAAAAGTGTTCCTGCATTTGCAAAGTTGAAAAAGATGTCAAAGTGTTTCTAAATCCTTTTATCTCTTGTTAAAAATTCGTTGAGTGGAGTCTGCGATGTGCTAAAATCTTAGCAAATGCGGCAGGCAACAATGAATCTGCATTTCTACCTATCCCTGCTCTCTTTAGGATTGCCCCTTGTATTCTTTTATCTTATTTTCTTAATGCTGAACCAGATAGTCACCTTAGAAGATGTGGTTGAGGAGATTGTTGGTGAAATTTTCGATGAAAATGATTCAAATGTAAGTCTTGCCATATCTTTGATGACTTTATCAATGACTTAGTTCTGCTACATACTTTAATTCCGAACTGCTGCTTTTCATTAAAGTCCAAAACCAGTTAATTTTGTTGATCTATGTCAATTTTCTGCTCAGTAGTACACTTTGATGGATCTCTAGCTTGTAAACTTTATTTTCAAGTTTCTATGGGCTTAATATATATATATATATATATTTGCTATGACAGGAGGAGATCCAGAAGAAAACTGGCTACATTGTGATGCGAGCAGAGGGAATCTTTGATGTTGACGCTAATACATCTATTGATCAACTCGCTGAAGATCTAAATATCAAAATGCCCGAAGTATGTTACTTGTATTAATTGATATAAATCTTCATGCTTAAGTTCTCATTTCTACTCGCAAGTTTCAGCTAGTATTGTTGAAATGTTCATGGATATGCACTGAGGTGTTAAAACGGAGTGTCGTCCCTCACACTATCTTATGTATTCCTTTCTTTCGCTTTGCTGTTTTATAGGAACATCAATATGAGACAGTGTCCGGTTTTGTCTGCGAAGCATTTGGATATATACCAAGGACAGGTGAGAGTATTAAGGTAATCCTTGAAAAGGAAAATGAAGAAGAAGATGATGAGAGTTCTGAAGATGGATCTGATCAACAAGATTTGAAGGAAAGGCATCAAATTTATAAACTTGAGGTATGGTTTGAACCGTCTGCCATATGTGTTTATATTGCTTAGCATTGATTTTGAATAATGTCATTGTTTATAAATGTTCCTCAATGGTGTGTAGTCGGATATGGACGAAACGAGTGCAGCTAGAATTTTTTTTTCCATCTGGAAATTAATCAGAATCTCTTAACCAAGACTATAACAGTTGAAATTCCAAACATTTTGTTATTGGAATTATGAGAAACTTCAGTTACTACGATATTATCCTTGTTAATCCGGGTCTTCTACCTTAATGGTGAAAGCGAAGTGATTCATCTCCCTTTTCTCTTCCAAATCACTAAAATATGATATTCCAGACTAGTATCGTGAGATTTATTCCAAATTTTAATATATCTTCCTGTAGATATTTCATTAACCTGACGAACACATGGGCTAGATGATCAGTTATGTCACTAACATATTATTGTGGCCAACATGTTTCTGGTGCAGATATTAGCTGGAAATGCCCGAAAAGTTAGTGCCATTCGATTTGAGCGGATAAACAATGAAGAAGAACTATTACATGCCACAGCAGTAACTCCGATGATTCCGAAAATCATAAAGAGGAAATGGAACAGTGATGAAGACCCAAATAATGGTAACTATGATGAAGATACATTTGAAAAGAGGCAAGAGGAAGACATCTCAGATCACTATGTAATTGCTGATTGTAAAGAGGATACTGATATTCTCAATGAACAATAGTTAATAATACACTATCTGTCACTAATTTTCACCTGAACACTCTCCTCTTCCCCTTCCACATTTCTTACAGCTCCACAAGAAGAGGTAAAGGCTCGAAAAACAGGACGAAAAAAAAGACCAACATTGTACAATTTTTCACAGATGAAGTGAAGTGTCAACATCTGAATCACTAAAGGTGGATGCATGCATGGCTGTATCTCTCGGCCGTAAACATGACAAACTTGAAGGATCAGTAACCTGATGCTGATCATGCATGCTAGTTTGACTGCAGATAGATCCTTGGAGAGGAGGTCTTGGCTGAAGGATCAACTCGGAATGGAAAAATGATTGGGGTCCCTGATGAGGTGCAGCTGGATTGATCCGCTCCGCTTCGGAGAGCAGCCGCAGAACCTCTCTCTCCTGCCTCATTTCCTTGGCTTTCTGCAACTGTCTGAACCTCTCTTGCAAGAGGGCAATCGATGAATGAACGGCCAGGTCACTCTGCCCTCCCATTTGCAAAAACGAAACGAAGCCTACCTAGGGTGTCAAGCGATGTGGTATAAGATGGTTTGATATTGCTATATTCCTATCTATAGGACAGTAGTAAGCTTTGGAATCGTTAATCTATTCAATCTGAAGCCCTTTAAGTGATTTCTCAATGATGTAAAAGATAAAGTTACGTAGAATCGGCCACTGAAACACGAAGTTCAAGAAGGCAGAGTTATGTGGAAATGCGTCTGAGGTAAAAGTACATGATAGGAAGAAAAGGGTGAGAAATAAAAATCCAAACTTTGATGGAATGTAGCATTTGGAAGGGCATGTTTTGCAGAATAAAAGGATGGTCTATGATGCTGTCGACTTGTTGGCAAGAGCTATTGGCCTTTGGAGAAGATAGTGCCCCCTTTTTGGTGGGGGATTTGGTGGGGATCTTATATTATTCTCACCTTTCAACATTCTCTTTCCACTTTGTTGAGAAAACAAAAAAGAAAAAAAAATTGGAGACAAAAGTTGGAGCAGGGAATATATTTTGGACTTTGGGGTTTTGATATTTTTCACAACGGAGCCCCATTTTTTAGTGACAAAAAAATAAAGCTTTTCTGTCTCAAATTGCATGTTCTGTTTGTCAGCAAGTAGTTGGATATGAAATGGCATCAAAGGCAGAAAGCTATTGGATTCGTTTTGTGGTTCTTGTTGTTGGGGTGTATTTTGCCTTTGAACCCTTCGTTGTTGGAAGCTAGTGCAGAAGCTCAAAAGCAACCTACCCAATCCTAGATATCTGATATCAACTGTGACCACTTACAATTTATCTAACTTTAGCCAAACGAAACTAGTTAAATGAGGAACTGAGTGATGTAACATTTTTTCTTCTTCTTCTAGTTTTCTCTTGTATGAGACATCAAATTGTCAATGGTGATGGTGTTGGTAAACAATACAAACTATATTGGTTAAATATAGAAATTCAATTCATTTCATCCTATTAACAAATTATGGCTCATGCAAGGTCTTCAGACCCACTCATAGGTTCCTAATATCAAGCTTATAAATATTGAAGAATAATGATTAAGTTTTGTTGGGAGGAACAAGTTTATTTATTGGTAGCTGACGATTCTTCTTCTGATTTGAGCGAAGAACTTTGTTAGTGTAAAGATTATCATTAGCCTATCCTCTCCGAGAGGAAAAAGGAGAAAGGTAGTAGGAGAGATGATGGATAATGCATGTGAAAATTGAGAAAGAGAGATGAAGACCCAAGGAAAAGATGGTGAGAAAACTCTTTTCTCAATTGTAGTTAAGGGTGCGTTTGGTTCACGGAATATAAGATTATCAGCGGGAATAGGATTACCGGCGGGAATAAGATTACTGGGAATGATGTATTTTGTGTTTGGTTCGTTTAGTAGGAATGTAAGATTACAGTGCTTGGTTAAAGGAATAAAAGATTATTTGAATGTATATTTTACCAAATTGTCCTTTATTATATATTTGTTTTTTTAAGAAGTTGAATTCTACTACAATTAATTTATATATTTTATTTAAAAATTTTAAATTCATAAAATTTATATAATTTTTTTACAAAATTGAAAAGATAAATAGGCTTAATGAAAGGGTAAAATTTTATTTTAACCCCTGAACTTCATATAAAATTCTAATTATGGATTTTTTTGTAAATCTAAAATAGTTTAAGGATAGATTTGTAATTTAACCTACGTAGAATTTTTTTTATTGAACGACAGAAGAATGATATTTTTTAAAAGAAAAATTTAAAGGCATTTTAGTCCAAAACATCGGTAATCCAACAATACCTAAGGGAAGGGGGTAATCACATTCCCGGTAATATACTCCAAAATACCACTATTGGGAATAAAAGATTACTGAGGGTTGGAAATGTTTGCCAACCAAACAGGGGAATGACATTTCATTCCCCTAGTAATGTGAGATGACTTAAACCGAACACGTCCTAAGGGGTATTTATAATGGTCTTAGCTGGCGCCTAACTGTATCAGGCATAGGATAATATGACTACTACTTTTAGGTCAACAGACTAAATAGATACGATAGATTTCAGATTTCGTCATGGAAGGTAGCACAGACCTATAAGATGTATTGTCTATATATTGTAATTGGTTCAAAAGTTATAATACTTCTATGGTTAGAAGTTATGGATTTCTTGGGAGTTTTGGTGATCGAATGAGTCTATCCAAAAATTTTGACTAGCGAAAAGATAATAGTTTTCAAAAGATATCGTCCGAGGTGTAATAATTAAATAGTAATGATTGAAAGATTGATTCATTAAAGACACATGACATAAATTCATTTATGAAAATAAAAATCTATATTATCACTGTATCAAATAATTATTCGAACTACCTTAGCTATTGGATAATGGCCAGAAAGTCTGCTGCATTTGAATCCAGTGTATGTTCATATTTTTGGGCTCCCTAGCCATAACAGCAAAAGCAATTCAACTGTTGGTGAGATTGTTGTTACTGGGGGCTCTAACCTGGATTGGATTAATTTCATTCTAGGATTGGCCCAAATTTCAGGGTACCTTAAAGTTTATTGGTCCATAAGAGTCCAAAGAAGAAGTTAAGCTTTATAAATTGTTTTTTTCAAGTATAAAAGAAATATTTATTATTAATTTAGAAAATTATCAGCTTCTTTGATTTCAAGATTATGAACATTAATGGGGTAATTGCAATCAAAAGAAAATAGATAATTACAATTGAGGTCCTTGACAATAATGATAATTAAATTAAACTAAACTCCAACTGTCAATAATTGTTTCTTAAATGCCTGCAAATTAGAAACAGAAAAAAAAATCTAATTAAAGAAGGAAATGGTCTCAATCAATGCCAAGTTATATGGTAAAAGGATGACCACTAAAAGTAAAGGGACCAAAAGTTGTCATCATCAAAATGAACAAGCCACAGTATATGTACAAATCAGACAGAGAGGGCGCAATAGCTGTGCCGACCATTTGTTGATGGGGCCCCAATTTGTATTGAACAATAAGAATGGGTCGTTAGATTACTATGTAAAAGACAAGCCTCGATAAAGACCACACATCCTTAAAATCTATGTTTGATGTTGATAAGGTTCAATACTATTGGCTATCTTTCATGTGCCACCAATGGTTGTATGATACTGTCGTCTCAACTCAATTTATGAACATGTGAATAGTTGTATCAGATTAACACAAGAAAGTTAAGACAAGCTCTTTTTTCGATAAACTATCTTATTGGTCCCTTAATTTTGAAAGTATTCACATTTCGATCTCGGGTACCAAATGGAATTCATTAGATGAGGGATGGATTGTATAGTTTAAGTGATTAAGACGGTGATGTAACTGGAAAGGGAAATATACTAGGTTGGGTAGGGTCAAATTTTGGGCCAATCTAACCCGACTTGAGGAACATACTCTCTTTATCCTATCCTACTTAACCTGATTTTAAAAAAATCTCATTCAACTTGAAATTCGATCTGAATTTTGAAATAAAAAGTAGTGGTGGATCCAAGAATTCTTTCGTTTTCTCTAGGTTCTCTAGACAATTTGTTGAGGAATTATGGTTTGAATATATTGCGGGTAATTGAAATAAATCTCTTCTTCAGAATTTGAGGTTGAGCCAACGCATTGATAGCACAAGCATTACAATAGGGGCCAAACCAAGCAAGATGAATGAAAAGAAAATGCAATGCTTGCATTAATTGCGACTCCCCTTACATAGACAGTGTGAGAAGCAGAGATGGATCGAGAGGATTAGTGAAGATAGACGATTTTGGAAATTTCAATTTTTTCATATAATTTAAATATTTTTTTTATTATAATCTGTTTTAATCTCTTAAAATGTTATAAAATTATATGTCCGTCCCTTATGAAAAGTGATTAACCAAGATTTTAAAAGCTAACATGGCAATGGGGTCACTTTCTATTCATGTCAACAAACCCTTTTGAGAATGGCTTTGGGTTACCAAATGGCTCAAATTAAGCTAGACATAGATATGCATGCACAAAAAAGAGAAAAGATTGATCAAAAAATGAACAATGGGTGGGTTCCCTCCTTTTCGTTTTGGATAGATTTTTTTGGACCCAAGTTGACCTTGTGTGTTTTCAGACATATGAACCATATATTGCCTGGAAAAGCTTGACAATGATTAGGTGGAAAACATGTGAAGCAACTCAGCAAAAAAGAAAAGAAAGAAGCATGCAAAAAGCAGCTCTCAGCCATGTTAAAGTTTGACTAGCCACCAACAATTGGGCTTCAAATGATTGTCCTCTTTGAAATTTTCTCATAGACATGATATTTTTTTCCCAAACATATAAATATAATCTTTTAAATATGCGTTAATTGAATGATTGAAGATAAAACTAATACCCGACGTTTTTCTTCGACTTATGCTTGTACGAATACATGTCTTCGACACATATTGTATGCGTTTATTCTTTTTTGAACAAAATCCGTATGATATTTTGTATCTCATTTATTCTTATGTTTTTATTTTAATCAATCTCTCTCGTGGAGTATATGGTAAATAAATATATAATTGTATATTTAGAAATATAAACAAAACTATTAAAGAGTATGGCAATAAAAGCGTATATTAACATGTAAAGTGTGTTTAATATGCAAGGGGCGGGTTCGGGGCGGATTTTGCTCTCCTATTCTCGTCCTCGAAATGAATCCCGTCCCACCATGTTCCCTGTCGGGTTATTTATCGGGGTGCCCCGTCGGGGATTTTTTTTGCCCCGTCCCCGAACCTGACCCGATCCCGAGAAAAATCGATAGTTTTCATAAAAAAATAGAAAAAAACGATCACAAAAACTAGAAAATTAGTCTACATGATTTACAATTCAAACTACTGTCACAAATTCAAACTCAATTCTAAATAATTATCTAAACTCCAAAATAAAACACATACATAATTAAATACAAACTTGTTCAGATATTCAAATCATACAACGAAGATTCTTACGTAATATTAAGTCAAATAAAGTAATCCAAAATTGTCGTTCCACTTTT